AAAAAAAAAAGGAAAAAGCTTTTTTTAAAACAGGTATCTTCTGTTGGCATAGCAAAGCCAGCCAAATGACTGAAAGCAACAATATGAACGGATATGACAAAAACAGAATTTCTGGAAGTGATCATTCATTAATACAGTTGCTAGTATCAACTGCTATTTTAACTTCTCCTTCAGATTACTTTCCCAATCGCTGCTATGGCTGATGTTGCCTAATATAATTGGATGGTCTCATAAAATGCAAGAACAATGTTTTTTTTTACTCAATGATCTATTGACGGACTGGTAGTGTCATCGTTATCATCGTCAGCAACAGCTTCAGTACCAATAGCAGCAAAACGTTATACAGCGAACTAAAACTGATGAATCATCATAGCATGACAGTTTTGGCATTTTTGAGGCACCAACTTTTTGCAAAAAAGTGGAGAGATAAAAAAGAAAGAAGAACGTATGTAATGACGACTTAAAACCCTAATTTTTAAAAATTCATCTTTCTCTTGTTGTTTTTTGCCGTTGTAACCTGTGTTTTTTTTTTTTTTGCCACATGTATAGCAACGAATAAAGCAATATGTTGATATATCATCACAAAATTTATGAATAATTTATGTAAAATAAAAAATCACCAACATTCCTGCACAGCATTTGAGAACTAGATGTTTCTGTTGCTTAGCTATTGAGATCCAAATGGTAAGTAGCATGAAGGGGGAATAAAGAAACAAAGAAAAAGCTTATTATCTCCTCCTCTTCATTATTGTACTATGAATTTTTAAAAAATAAAAAGCAGTGTAAAAATAAAGCAAAAGCAGCAATGAAAAGAACTTTGGACGATTGTGAAGAGATGTGAAAAGTTAAGAAAATTAGTACTAATTCAAGTTTAAAACAAAGCCAAAAAAAAAGTTTTGCTAAACCAACTAAACCAGTGCAACGAAGAGAGAATAGAGCAGAATTAAAAGTTACCAAAAAAAAAAAAAAAACCAGCAAAAACTTACCATCAAATTAATTTTTTTTTCTTCTCCCAAATTGTTTGTTGTATTACTTAAAAAAATAAATCCAATTCATTACCCGATTCCACAAAAAAAAAATTAAATAGCTTTAATTTTCACATTTAGTCAGTCTAAATGCTAAAAAAAAACTCAAGAAAAAAAAAGCAAGAATGCGAAGAAGAGTACAACAACATTTAAAAAAAAAAAAACAAAAAACAAAACAAAACAAAAAAAGAGGAGAAATTGAAGAAATGATTGATAATATGAGTCAAATCAGTTTAGTCACTGACGTTCACAAACTGCCGAAACAGTTCCCAAATTCTATCTATTTCTCCTATTTTATCGCAGCTGACAAATTGACTTCTTTTAAACTTGAATACGTCTTTTCACTCATTCCATTTGTCTGCAAACCGCGTCTGTTCAACCATACGTCTGCTATTCAACTTTGTATTAACTCTGCCTTCCATACTTGTCCACTTTCATTGAAAATCCATTATGGTATATTATGAGGAGTCTTTTTTCAATCATATGTTTATCATTGCTGTTACTATCAACATTGTTTTAGTCATTTTCACCAGTATAATCTGCCCGGTCAACAGCATCAACGTAAACGAGTCACTGTGTGCTGTTCGATAGCCGATTAACAATGTGTAGGAAAGAGAAAAAGAAAATAAAGATTGCTGAAGGAAAAGGTGCTAAGTTTTCAAAAAAAAAAAAAAAGAACATTTTTCGGTTATTAGTGATGACAAAAAACAGTTGTCAAAAAAAAATTTACTGTTTACAAAGGCGTAGCTAGTAAAGTAACCATGCAAAAGAATAGAAATAATAAAGATGACAAATAGACATTTTGCTAAGATTCTTTGTAAAAGTTACATCAATGACCGCCAGTGTATTCTTAATAAACAAAAAAAAAA